GCTGTGTGTTTTCAAACAATTATAGTCGTCAAAAATCATTGACACTTCCTTCGCTTTAAAAAAAAACTTGCCTGTTCGCCACTGTTTCGGGTAATCACATTCCACAGTGCGCATTACAAGATGAAGCATATTAAAGACTGGTATTCCAGATAAACAAAAGGTGAAATTGTAACTATCTCTGTCAATTTTCAAATTTCCTATTATATTTCCTTAAAAGCGGTACCTAATCAGCTGTAACATACACATGCTAATCCGCTGAAAGGCAATAAAAATAACCTTTATAGGATTCACAGGCACTGGTTTTCCAGGAATATGAGGTGTAGGTTCCATATTCATATCGAATGTGCTGTATTCAGGATAAGCGTCAATCAGAAAAGTTAAATCATCATCTAACCGTTTTTCCAACTTGATCACTTCAATTTTGGTGATTGTTGGCGTGTACATTTCATACATCACTTCTACGCCTGCAATTTCTAGTATAAATTATCAGAACGCCGAAAAACATAACAAAACTAAACTGATCTAAACCCGTTACACTGAGAATTTAGGAAAGCATGAGCAGAATTTTTTGCTCAAGGTCACGCTTTCGCGGTAGAAAAAAACGTGAAAAAATTGCACTTTTCTAGTAAAAAAAATACAAAATTTAAATCATATGAGGTGTAAAATCTAAATAGTGGATGTGCAAGGCGGCCGAAGATGGCAATTGTTAACCAGACCGGTATTTAGACAACAAAACGCAGTTTAGTTAAATGAATGTAAAATGTGGACAAATCAGCAACGGAATGCTAAAATGTCCTAAAATAAATATGTTGAAGAAGCTGACAGTAGCAATAAATGCTGGAAATTGCTTACATTAAGCAATTACACTAAGGAAAAGGTCGTACGAGGCAGAAAACTCGAAATGGGACACCTCTGTTCACTGCAAAAACTTTACAAGAAGCGAAGTATTTCACAATATAAATTTTTTAGGAACAAAGAAAATGCAACATCAGTAACCTATTCCCTCGATGACGTTCCTCAGTGTGAACTGAGAGTGGAGGCCTTCCAGTTTACGACTGATGCAAATACCCAAAAACCGATTCTTCAGGCCCATCAGCCTTTTATCGGAATAAGTTACGGCAACGATAGACCCTAGAAACTGGCAGGATTATTTAAAAAAAAAAAAAGATTATTTTGTCTTGGATAAAATCGTAATGAAAAAAGAAAATGCTAAAAATGAGCAGGAAATCTGAGAAAACTTCTCCAAATTTCAAATTTTCCTAACCAACATAAAACTCTGGAATATCAATCCGCAACCGTCGTTCGAGCATATCCTTTCGCTCAAGTTCCTCCCGAAGAGCATTACGCCGGCCATATATTGAAGTGGGTTGAAAATCCGGATATACATCGCTACAAAAAAATAGACACACAAAATGTAAGTCTGTGAATTCGAACATTAGCAGTAAAAATTCCTTGCAGTCACTTTTACTGAGAGAGTAGGGAAGCCAGTTCGTAATGTTGTCCAGAGTATTTGCACACGTGGAGCTCCATGAAAAAATCTGAACAACTATTTCTAGCGCAACTTCATTTTTGGTAATGACCAATGGACCGGGGAGCCAACAGGCGAGCTGAAAAGCCACAAACGCGACTTTTGACAGCGCGACGCATTTGGTATTTTCTTTCGAAAGAAAGAAAAATAAAAGCCGGAAGTGGGTGCGAGGCCTGGTTGACCGTCAAGCAAAGCAACTCTGGTCACATAAATCTTAGAAAAACAGCTGATGAGGGAAAAACGCCCATTTATAGAAGGGAAGCTGACAAACTATCGAAATGCACTTACCGAAAATTAGGCATATGCTTTGCTAATTTCGCTTTTCTTTCCTCGCCAACAAAAATGCGATAGGCACGAACTCCAACAGCCCTCACTTCCGGACGCAACGTCCAAGAACTCCAACCCATCGGGCCTGCAACAGTCCTAAATATGGCACAGTTAAGGCATCCACCTTTGTCTTATTTTCAAGCCTCTTTCGCATTGAAAGAGCTATTTTTTCGTTCAGTTGGGACGGATTTTTGTCTGAATCTTTCATACCGATAGTGAATCCCTGTTTTGCAGGCTATTTTAGAAACAAGCTGTAACTGCCTTGAGATTCTGACAAAAGAGAGCAAAGCGGTAACCACTCCACTGCAAAACAACGATCCTTGCAGCGTCTATTTGCATAACAAGTTAGATTCCCACTTTTTTCTCTAAATTTCTATGTTATCAAGATCTTTTACTAACTGCACAGTTGCAATCGATCGCACAGCAAATATACAGTGTGGCACTGAACGGCTCCTGCCGGAATTTGCTTAATGATACAAGTGTTTTCAGCCGTTTTATCTGTCAAAGAAGTAAAAATCGAACTAGCAGTGCTCGACTGCAGCAACGCATCATAGAACCGGTGTTTAAAATACATCACAACGTAGTAAAAGCAAATCATTCAACGATATTTGGTCGCTCGAAAATAATGCTGTACAGAAATGCAAAAATAACGCTTGCCCGGAAGCGAATATAGATCAACAGACACTGCTGCACAATCACAAGAAAGACGATATGCATAAACAAAAAGATGCAAAAGTCCAACGCTTTCTGTTCAGAAGTTTTCACGTAAATACAATACCCGTTGTCTCGACAGTAATTTAAAACCGTCTTTTGAATGGCGAAACTTGAAAAGAAAAACAAAGAAATACAAAGTTTTTGAAACCGGAACACCTAAAGCTTTGGTTAAAGCAAGAAACGCCGGAGAGAGAGATAAGCTTTAGTGAAGTTAATTTCTGCAAATACCCAAAAAACTTCCCTAAGTTTTAAAAAAAATTGATAATCTTCCCAAACATTATTTGTATATCCGGAAGTAGTACTCGGTTCGGCGGCGCAATATATACTCATTTTTTGGTTCGGATTCGAACTGCGAGGATCGTGTTACCGAGTTTTTTGTCCAGGTGAGGCTTTAGGTGTCAAGTCCAGGACTGCTAACTTCCTCTCAACATCAATTTTCATGCTGGGCATAAGAAAAACATAAGAGCT